CTTCTCACGAGCAGCAGCTTCTCACGAGCAGCAGCAGCAGCTTCTCATGAGCAGCAGCAGCAGCTTCTCACGAGCAGCAGCAGCAGCTTCTCACGAGCAGCAGCAGCTCCAAACCAACGGACGAGGAGAAATTTACTTTTATTTTTTGTTCTGAGTTCCTGAAAGGATCCAGATGTATCAGAGCCTGAGTCTGTCCTCCTCCCAGCCCCCCTACCCCCATGACACTGGGAGCTACCTCCACCCCCCGGCCAGCTCCCCGGTTTGTGTCCCCACAACCCGAGTCCCAGCTATGCTGCCCACCCTGCCCTACCTCCAGACCTGCGAGCCCCTCCATCAGAACCACAGCCTGAAAGGCCCCCCGGCTGGACCCAAAGTGTAGTGGACGGCTCTTCCTTCGCCCCCGGCAGCCCCCACCCCTCGCACGGCTTCTCCTACCAGCACAGCCTGCCCGGCGGCACAAACACGGACCGGGACACCTTCCAGAACCCACTGGTTCTGGGGAACAACGGCTGCACGGACCAGTACAAGCCTGATTTTTTTCCTTCTTCTGTTATTTCAGAGATGAGAAGGTAAGTTCTCTTCTTCTCCTCCTCTGGCTACATCCAAAGCAACCTGCATCGCAGCGCAGCAGTGTCAAACTCCAGCTGCTTTTGTACGAGCAAAAATGACAAACTATCCGCGCAATTATTTGTACCCTGACAGCAAAAGTTATCTGCTGATAAATGATGTGGCACAAATATATAATTCTTATTTCATTTTTAGGCTGATTTGGTCCAGACCCGGACCGGATCAGAGCCAAAACATTTTTTGCAGGTGTCAAGCAGGCTTATGATCCCAGCCCGACCCAGAGCTGGCACATGTGCATAAACCCTCCATGATGGTTATGCAGATCTGGGGACTTGTAAACAGATTTGGCCCAGATCTGAATGCTGCAGGTTTTGCTTGTTCCTCTGTTTGTATGTAGACACACACACACAGATGTCAGTCACAGGTTGTCGGCGTTGGGTGTAGCCCGTGTAAATGTCTTGGACCAGTGATGGGCAGGGCCGTAAAGTGGGGGGGCCAATGGTCCCCTGGCCCCCCGTTCCAGTGCCATTGGCTAGGAAGATCTGGCAAAAGTCCCAGTTCAGTAGTTCTTCCCATCTCATTTCTAACTAAACTTTTCCTGTATCCTGAGGAAAGCAAAGGGACAAGGAGCTCAAATGACCCAAGCTCTAGGGTTAGGCAGCCACTGCAGGTGGGTCTTTACAGAACTGCATATATGAGGTGGTTGGTGGTGGACACCTGAAATGAAGGAATCTGGCTGAAGAAGGAGTTCTACAGAGCTTCAACGAGGACTTTGGAAAAAGCTGACTGGTATTGGGAGGCCAGATGGACCACAGCTAAGACAGTTGTGGAAGAGAAAAAAGGGTTTGGGGGGGAATTGGAAAGGAGCAGGACTTTCAGACAGCCTCAGAGAAACTTGGGCAAACCGTCAGAGGTCTCAGGCATGGAAAGCAGTACCAACACCATAGGTGTGGTGTACTTCTACTTTTATCTCGTTTCCAATTAAAAAAACTCATAATCAATTTGAATGGGTCATACTGATGGCTATCTATAGATTCAAAGTACTGATATCAATACTTTGTGCTGTCAGACACTATTATTCTAATTACCTGCTTAAAGGAAGTGTAGGTCATGACCTAACTATATACATAGAAAAGGTTATATCCATAAAGAAAGAACATTAAAAGGTAAAATTTTATTGAAATTAATTTCTTCATCCACTATGATGTCAGGAAAGGTGGAGCATAAAAGTTATATGAAAATCTATAACCATAAATATAATGGTCATGTAAAGATGAAACATTATTATTACATATCTGGAAAATTATTAAAGTATTATTATGACTACATTAGAAATACAGCTACCTGTGTATCTTCTTGACAGTTGTCACTTTCTTCATTCCATGTCCTTAACTCTACCAATTCTTCCATTACCTCTTCTTTTTTTTCACAATGCTGCTCAGCCTGAAAATGAAAAACAAAACATTTGAAAAACTTTTTTTTTTTTTTTTTTTAAGGCATACACTGAATATGATTTTTGTTTTTTAGTTGCTGTTACAGCTGATAGCTCTTCCATAATTTATGTGCAGAATCTTAGTTCTAAAGATTTACATAATGTCTGATCGTAATGCGCAGAGCTAGGTTTGGGAGAAAATCAAACATCTTAATCAAAACAAGCACAATAGAGTAGTCCCTCGTTTATCGCGGGGGATCCATACCATGAAGCCCCACGATAAGTGGAAAACTGCAAAGTAGGAATAGTAGTACAAGTAGTAAATTATATATATATATATATATATATATATGAAAAATGAACTGACTGCAGCCTTCTGAAGTTTTATTTTTAAATAAATAAAAAAAATAGAAGCAAATACAGTTTTATGTTCAACTTATTAAAATACTAAAAACATAAGTACCAGATGTTGACATTTTCTGCACTAATAAAATAAAAATACCTTGTTGGGTGGTGCATGATATCCTGTTTTGAGTACAGTTGCCACGGTAAGATAGAGGAAGAGAAGTATTCCTGGGTTGACGTAAACTGGCCAAATATGATTGACGTTAACGTTGAAGTCATCAGGCACAGAGCAGTTTCCAGGTATGATG